ACTAGCGTTGTTTGAGGAGGACCGCTGAGCTCTAACAGGAGCCCGTGGCTTGCAGTGTAAGCAGAGAGAGAGGCGAATGCCGGAAAGTAGGGGCAAAAACTATGTGGAAGATCCTTCATTTCCAACTGAAATATTCTACCACGAGAGAGAGCTCTGCTCACTGGTGTGAGATGTAGCTGCTGGACACTGAGATAGCTCAAGCACAGCATGAGGGGGCTTGAATAGGGCAGACTGGCTGAAAAGCTTTAGCCGCAACACTGCTGATGGAGTTCACAAAGTTCTAGAAGTCCAGAAGGTCAGTGAAGAAACAGCCTGTAGAGGACAAAGTTTGGAGAAAGTCACCAGGCTTTAGAGTTAACAAATTTCTTGATCCTAGAAGCAGGAAGAGAAGGAGGAAGACTGCAGCGTGACTCAAGTATACATAAGCTTGACTATGTCACAAGCTGGTTTGGCATACTCCCTCGATATATAGCTGGCACAGCTAGAGAACCCTCCACTTGGGAAGAACCGCCCTGGTGATCAGGAGAAACACTATTTTACCCTTATCAACATTAATCAAACGGAAGATCACCAGTTGCTTAAATAAAATGACCATATTTGCTTTATAGGTATTATGACCCCTGGTTCCTAATCGATTATCTATTTTTGCGCATCATGTCCGTAAGAGGACAAACCAATAGCCTATAACAAGAGTGTTGCATCAGATTCAGTTCCCCCTCAAATTCATGTTCCCCTTCACAAATCAATTCCCCAGGAGTATGCACTCACTGAGAAGAAATCAGCACTAAACAGCACTGGAACTACATAAAGTAAAAATGTTCAAGAAAGGTGTAAATCTTTGCTTTGCTGCTGATTTGATTTTAAAGTAGAGGCATAAGACTTTTACACCAACTTTGCTTTCCATTGTTTCAGTGCAGCATGTATGCATGCGCCTGCATGCATGTTTTTTCAGGGGGAATTTGAAATGGAATTAAATCAGATGCATTTGGGTGCAACAAGATGTGCCCTCAGGCTGCTAGTGCTGGAATGGTAGGCTAACTGTAGCTTACATAGCTTGCATACAACTTTATCTCAAGGTTCAACAATTTTGCCATCTACTGACCTTTAAGTCTTGCTCCAAAGTATTTCCAAATAGGGCTTTTTAGAATGCAAATCGCTCTCTCTCCCATAATAACCACATGGTTATATGTTACTGAATTATTCACTCTTTTTAGCTGGACCTACTATTCATTTTAAAACATGAAAGGGACATTATGTGACTCCTGTTTGTCATGCAGTGCATTCAGTGCAGTGGCCCAGGCCCTCACGACAACGAGGCAGACAGTCGAGGTAATGCTGCATTTTTTCGAATATTAATTTTCACAATCGAATGTCTGTTTTGCAGTTCTATTACATAATCAAATTTCGAATATTTGTTGACAGTCCTAGTACTTAATGTAATATATCTAATAGAAGCATATTATGCAACTCGCCAGGGGACACTGGCGGGGCCAATGATTCTATCAGGGTGGCTGTGGCCCCCCTTGGCCCCCTGGTGCCATTGCCTTTGCTCGTTAGTGGATGAGGTTAAAGTTGTACCTGATCCAAAAATACTGAACGATACAATATAGTTACAGTATGATTTACCCAACATATCGACCAAGACTGAGGCAAGATGGCTTTATGCTGAATTCCCTTTCCCTAATCGTAAAGCAGATGCCGAGTGCAGTGTTTTTGTGAAGTATTACAGCAGCAAAGGCTGTCTCTGTGTGAGATTTGGCTGGCATTCCCACATAACACCTGTAATCAGTGGCTGCCAGCAGTGCCCGAGGGGACATAAAGCAACGTGTTTGTGGCCCTGCCGTGACAGCAGCCCTTGTTCCTGCTGACAGGTCCGCATGCTGGGCCTGAGTGGCCACTGTGGCTTGTGTAAATACAGCCCTGAGTCCCTGCCTCTGTGGAGATAATGTTATCTGCTCTGCCAAGGAGTTATCCCATCCCTCCTCCTCCAAAAAAACAAAAAAAAGCCTCCCCTGAGACTGCCCCTGCTTACCCACCCACACCACCACCAGGGCTCTAACTCATTTTGGCCCTGTCACCTCAACAGAGACCGAGGGCTTGCACATCACGCTTCAACGTGGATCTGCTCACGCCCCTGCTTTGTGCACAAGCAGAGAGGGCTCTTCAAAAAAAGATGAGCATGCCATATGGATGTGGAACAGATGCTTCATGTGTTGACCATGGCATTGTTTAGCTCAGCTCAACAGAGTTTGGAATCAGCATCCCATGTTAACATTCTCCCTGATCTTCTAGGAATGCGAATTATCCCGGAGATTCAGAGGGGTCCCTGCAACGTGACCTCCAGCAGAAGGAGGCAGAGCCAATGTGATTGAATAATCCCTCGCTTTGCTTTTTTCTTTTTCATTAAAAAGAGATTTTAAGTGCGAAAAGTATTATTTTTCTTCCCCAAATGCAGTGGAATTTCACACATATTCAGGGTCTCAGGATTTTTTCCGATGTGGGAGGTAGGGGAGAGATTGAAAGGCAAACAAAAAATAACAAACAAATAAAGCATTCTTTCTATTCATTTTCTTTCTGCCTGTTTATAACTGATGGTCAAAAGCAACACCTAATTCACAAGCTTACAAACATGTTCTGCATTTCTTTGCCTTGATGTCTAAACTACTGTTCATGAATGTGAATGCTGGAAATGTTATCAGTGCCTAAGCTTGCCCAGTTGAATTCTTCCCACTTTCTGCAACACCTTTGATGCTCATATAAAGGGTAAAGTTCACAGGCAGGAGAGGTCTGAGGAAAAACACAAAGCCAGTTACAGTTATTTGTTCAGTGAAACTGAATGTAATTCAGGGAAGCCGGGCCAGTTCAGGCTTGTCCCAAACGTCTTTGTACTTTCCTTGTTGATAAGCAAACTGTTCTAATGGTAAATCACAAGAACAGATTCTGAAAAAGGAACGATGACTGGAACAGGAATATGACCTGCATGTGTAGGATCAAAATCTAATAAATCTCTTTTGTGAACAACGAAAGCTGTGTTACAAACTCACTATTCTATTTGAGTTTATGCACCAGAGAGCTCCAGCAGGCTCTCATCCACACTCACAGCTAACGCCTTATCTAAAACTTTTAAAAGATGCTTGGGTAGTGAAGACATGGGGATGTGGGGCAATTTGGATTAAGCACCTTCCCAAGATATAGTGGCAGTACCCTCTTAAAAATAACGATGCCTAGTGTTTCTTGGAGCAACGCCAATGTGTGTGAACCATTTTCATTCTCTAAAGAATTGTTGTAAATGAGAGTGCGAGTGCAAGTGTAAAGAACCTATATAAAGTTTAGAGGACAACCACACATCAAAAATGTTCTATAACAATTAAAGGCTTTTCCTAGAATTATACATCCAAGCGAAGAACCACAGAGGAACTTTCAATTTAAGGTGTGTAAGCATGTATTTGAACCTACAACCTTCCAGTACAATACCCAAATAAGAAGATCTCAACTTTTATTCAGGCTTTCCCATTTTCCCATTGTTTTCAATGCTGTGACTCTTGTGTCATACATTTTAACTAATGTATGTAGACTATTGCATGTTGTTTTAAGGGCCTGTACTGATATAGCATGTCAGGCTAGGAGCGCTGATCTAGAAACAGATTCACAATCTCTTATTTACAGTGACCTTTTAGACCTTCGTTCAATGTCTGCTGATTTTTGGGACTAACAAATACACTGTCAGTGGAATCAACCAGTGATGTTTTTTAAAGTAACCAATGTAAGGAGAAAAAATGTCACTTTAGTCCGTCTGGAAGTCCTAGATACATCACTGAGTATGAGTGGTAGGCTGACAAATGTGTTTCAGTCAGATGTTAGAAATGGAAAACAGCAGCAGCAGTTCTATGCTGGGGCTCTTTACTAAAAGACTTCACTGTAAAACTTCAACATACAAGGTATTTTTTTGTTGTTGACATTTGTTACAAGCTTCAAAGAAAACATGGAACATGTCTTTTATAACCTTCAACTGTCTGTGTTTAATCTATAATGGCCAAAAAACATTAAAAATAAGTGCTAACATACTACTACAAATCCCATATTGGATAGCAAAATTAGCATTATTGTACTATGTGTTTTTGTTTTTTGACCAGGTTTTGACAGTTCAGGCCAGAACTAAAGGCCTAGCTCTTACAGTCACGGCTAAACACTGACTTACTGATAGAAACACGTCCTAGATCAGCACTTCTTCTCTGAGAAGCTTAATAAATTAATGCCCTGATCTCTTTTTACTCCACAAGAATTTCTTGGGTTAGAAAGGTTTTGGATCATCTAAAGTACAACCACAACTAAATCACAACTTTCAGATGATCGATCTTTTTATTCAAGTACAGAATATAGTTTGATTTAAGTTGCATGTTAGAATCCATTCTTCAAAAAAGTCAATACAAATACACTTCTAAAACAGTCCTTGCCATGATTATGGTATTGCCTTTCACAACTAATCAGAAAATAAAAACAGGACAATGCCATTTAAACAGCTTGTGTAAAAAAAGAACAAATGTGTAAAAAAGAAAGAAAGAAGCCTCACATTTCTCACATTGTATCAAATAAATTATAAGGCTGAAATAGAGTAGCCAAACTTAAACAGTGCCTCAAAGTGCTTGTGCTGGGTTTCTCTGAAAATATTTCTGCAAAGCACTTTGGCTCATTGCATCCCCTTTTTCTTGTGATAGCTAATTTTGTTAAGATTTAAAAAAAATGATCATATATTCATATTATAACATTGTCTAAAATATCAAGTGAACTAAAATAATATAGATTTAGCTTGATTAACCTACACAAAAATCGATTTGCCACTACTTAGATATGTTCCACAATAGCAATGTGCATCTTGAAAATTAAATCCTCCGACCATGAATCAGGAACAAGGATAATCATCAATGTTCAGCATAGATTTCTCAGGGAACAAAACATGCAAAAGAAGTAAAAAGAAAAATTATATAGTATTTTCCATACTGTGAGCCATTTCATTATGCTAATGTAGCAAAACAAAAGTCAATAGGTCTTTAGACCAGCAGTGAATGAGGAAAGAGTGGGAATGTTCATGGAAATGACTCTGCCCTCTCCCACAAAGGCATCTCGGAGAAGAATCCTTCACAGAGACCATAGCCCTGGTCCAGAGACAGGGGGATGGCTTGGACTTCCTCTTTAATCTCCCAGGGGTGCTGCTGCTGCTGAGGAATATCTGAAAACAGTGCCATTCCTTCATAATATTGTGGATGGGTCTGTATGTGCTGCTGATGCTGCTGTTGCTGAAAGTCCTCCATGGTGCATCCCAACCCACTGTTCATCTCCAAGTAAGCACAAGCCTGTTCGTCCTCATTGCTGTACCATTTGGGCAGGCTGGGAACGTGCTGGTTCTGGGAGGACACCTCCATCTCACAGCCCAGAGAGCTAAGAGCAGTGTTGATATCCAAGTCCTCAAAGGTGCTGCCGTTCCCACTGAGGACATCATCGAAGACAGAGGCCAGGTCAAAGTCCCCCCGGAGAACGTCTGAGCTTTTGATCTCACTGGCCAGCAGTGGTGACTGGGACACTCTCGACAACTTGCCCCCACGCTTGGGAAACACCTGCTTGCGTTTGTTTCCTGCTACAGGCTCTTGGTAGTGGACCATCGCTGTTTGTTGGTTGTGTTGAGGACTATAAGAAGAACAAGAGGAGAGCAATCTGCTTTGTCTCTGGGTGTTGAAATTTGTGGCAGGCATCCGCCTTCGTTTGAAGACGCCATTGACAAACATGTCTGCGTACTGAGGGTCGATCTGCCAGAAGCCTCCCTTTCCTGGCTCATCCTTCTGCCTGGGCACCTTCATGAAGCACTTGTTCAGTGACAGGTTATGGCGAATTGAATTCTGGAAAAGATTGAGACAATTGGGATCTGTTAGTGAATATATGCTATTAATTTAAGATTATTTTCTCAAAATAATTTACTGATGATTCACTGATTGACATTTGTCAATTAATATATAACCTTGATTTTTGGATAATTTCTCAAAATAAGACATTTAAGACAGTTGAAATTTAGAAAATATATATCTCTAGTTTATCAATAGTTCTTAAAATAAATTTCAGCACTTCAATGGCAATAAATGTACTCAATCATAAAATGCCAAAATAACAATCAATGGTGCTTAACTAACAGACATCTAGTCCACACACTACAAACAACAAAACCTTTAATAATTCCAAAACTCAGTATGTACATTCTGACAAAATGCAATTTCAAACATGTTTGTTTTCTACACAGTTGCGCTGTATTTGCAATTACCCCTAACTTCATACATAAAGACCTCGGGATAATCCCATTGTGCGGCAGGTTGAGGTGTCCTCTTTCATTGGCATACAGTGTATGTGTGTCAGGGGGTTGGTGGGGGGGTTAATGAAGGTGGGGGAAGGGAACGATGTGTGTACAGGAGAGCATATGCTCCTAATGAGGCTCTCTTGTAATGCAGTACTGCATGTTTCTTATGATCAGCTGTGCTGGGCTGCCAGTGACGTCCCCTAAGGGTCCCTCATTAAAGAGGTAGGCCCCAGGACACACTGTGGTCCCTTTGAGTATAGTGGGCTCAGCTTCCAGCAACAGCACACCTGCAAGGGCTCTCACCTTTCTAAAAACATTTCATTTATTCACACTGAGAAGTGGAACATTATAGACAAAGGTGGCTCAGTTTTGTTCATATTTATGCTAACTCATGGTAATTGGTTTCCTTTGACCACAAACAGTATGAAATGCAATTGGCTCTACAGGTCATATTTTGAACACAGCTTTCTCAATTTCCCTGCCATAAGACTGCTCTCCTAAATCATTCAATCTGCATAAATTATCAACAAAAAAGATGCTTGGCTAAAACTAAATTTTCTGAGGAGTCAACATAGAATCAATGTTCTTTTTCTTTACAATCAGATTAAAACAAGCCTGAACTATTTCCTTACATTACATATCAGTGCTGGCTTATTATTTATTTACCCTATTTGAAAAACAGCCACTGCCCATTACATTGCGTGAACATTTTACGATGAACAGACCAACTGAAACGGTTTAAAATGACTTAATCTATGTTAATGTACAGTAAGTTAAAAACACATTTTGGCTTCTAAAGTTACCATTTCTGAGCTATAAGGTAATATTTCAATACATATATACACCACTTACCTGCCAGCTTGGCTCAGCGTGTCTGTAGTAGCAGAAGTTCTCAGTGATCCAGCTGTAGATGGCAGACAGGGTGATTTTAGTCTTCTTGCTGGCTTGCATGGCCATGAAAATTAGCGTGGCATATGAATAAGGGGGCTTGACATGAGGGTTTGTTTTGTAGTCAATCTCCTCACTGTGCCCATAGAGTCCAGCCTGTGGATGGCCGTAAGTGCCACAGGCTGGCGTGGGATTCCCCGGGGGCTGAGCCATGCCCATGGCTGCTGTGTCCCCTGCAGCGGGGCTGGAGGGTGAGTCAGAGCTCCCTGAAGGGTTCTTGGGCTGAGGGAAGTGCTGCGGGTGGCATCCGAAGCTTGGCAACCTTTCTGGATTGGCACTGAGGATGGAGAAGTTCTGAAGCCAGTGCAGGCTGGTAAGGCTGTCGTCCAAACTCACAGAACCACTGGCGTTTTCACGGTCCTCTGGATGAAGCAGCATCCATTTCTCCTTAAATTTGTTGGCAATCTCAGGCCTTGTCAGTACTGGCATCTTGGACGGAGACACGTCTAAACACCTCTAAGGAATTTTACAGTGGATATCTAGAAGTGTGGAAGTTACAGACAAGTTACATAGAGAAAATGCAAACATCTGCTAAGTATGTACAACATACAAGGTCTTGAGATACCAAGAAGAGACACATATATTATATTGGACTGAGGTATTATAGGCCATCAGGTTGTAAATTATATCTTTAAAAACTCCTGTTTATTTGATATTCAGATGATGCTTCCTACTGTATTCTTAAGCAAAATGAAATACTGTAAACGAATTACAAAGACATTTTAATAGGAAACTGAATATAGGAATGACAATTGAAAAATTGACGTTTGCCCCATATTTCATAGCACATTATCACATATCCTTATACCTGAATTGACCCTACTGAGAAAAAGAAAATGCAAACAGAGACCTAAACATTTTGTGATAAATTCAGGACCAGAGTTAAAAAAACACTGGAGCTACTTTATTCTTTCTGAATAAGCAAAAGGAAACAGCATATAATAAAAAAGCGAATTAAATCACAACTTTAGTGGGGAAATTAAACAAAAACATTGCTTTATCGTTCAGAAACTAAAATGCGTGTTCCCATACTACCATATAAAACGTTAGATCCCTTTTTAGCTAAGGCTGACATACTGCATTTCCAAAGTAAGGTAAAGCTACTGTAAAGAAGCATTTTCTTACCTTGGCGATAGAGTAAATGCAGTGGAGCTAGAGCTGGGTCTCAGTCCGTTAACTGATGATGAGGAAGAGCAACAAGTGCACTCAGAGACTGCACTCTCAATCACTCCATTCTCATGTGAAAAGAGCAAAGATTAGGATCCACCTTTAGGCTACGGCATCCAAAATGTCATGGTGCACGGTACGAGAGAGTGAAGCAGACTGGAGCAGGCTTTACTGCCTCTTAATAGCTCTTTAAAAAGAGGCGCATTCTGATTGGCTCGAGTACCACGTAGCACAGTCTGGTGGCACAGTCAGACACACTGAGGGGAGTGTCTTTACCGCAACATTACCACAAACACTAAAGCGAGCTCAGCACTGGCATACATCACTCAATGACTTCCATCATTTCATAATTACACGCGTAATTGTGATCAGGCTTAGAAGCTGAACTACAATGTCTCTTGGTGGTACTTGTACACAGGAATATCATTCCATACACGGGGGTCCTGTTCTTTAAAATGAATTGAGGACCACCCCTGTTTAATACTGACTGTTTGGGTTTGACTGTTTGACTGTGTGTCGGTTGAACATGTGTGTGGGGTGCAGTGGTGGTGTTAAGTTTTCCCGCTTCGGGACAGCGCTGGTTGTAGATACATGGCGCGCAAACACTGACAGAAAGGCGCTAAAATTGTAGCAGCAAGCGCGCCACTTGTCCCGCCTTAGCACGCGCTTTTCCTCCTCACGCTGTACACTCACACACATACACACTGCATGGTTTCACAAATTCCGCCAGTTATCTCGTCGTTAAACCAGTACTTGGGCAGACTTTTTGAGTGATAAAAACACGTATGTATGCTTTATTTATAGACGCTTAACAGAGAAACGCATTTATTTTACACCTCTGTATTCACCTCTATCGGAGTTAAAGAGTGTTAGAGTGCCCTCTTGTGACAATAAAACGTTATTGCACTCCTCTATGCACTCACTCGTTTTATGCATCCACTGTTATTGAACGGTACTTACTCGGGCTGTATTTTTATGATCTTTGATTCTGATACATTTATTTTTATTTTTACTACACCTAAAGGGATATTCCTCTGATTTCTCTATCTAATTCAATGACTGAGATATAAACTAAATAATTCAGACTGGTTTGATGTAAAATAGTTTATCATAGAGAAACTCACCCAGTGAGACTTACAGTTGTGGTGACAGGAACAAGAGGTTGTGATATGTACAACTCGACAAAATCATTTTTTTTTTTTGCTATCCTAAACAACCATGGAACCTGTGTCTTTTGAGTTGTTTGCACTGACCAACCACTTCACTGAGTACACCTACCTTGTATCTACACTCATTTTCTCTTTTATCAGCTTCACTTACCATATAGGTGCTTTGTAATTGTGTAATTACAGACTGTAGTCTATGTTCCTCTGCATACTTTGTTCCTACAGAGCAGGTATCGTGCTGGTTCAAGTTGGTCAGACACAGCAGTGTTCCTGGAGTCCGCTGTGTCCACTCACTGTCCACTCCATTAGACACACCTACCTTGTTGGTTCACCTTGTAGATGTAAAGTCAGAGACAGGAGCTCATCTATTGCTGCACAGTGTGTGTTAGTCATTCTCTAGCCCTTCATCAGTGGTCACAGGACGCTGGTGAATGGATATTTTTGGTTGATGGACTATTCTCAGTCCAGCAGTGACTCTGAAGTGTTTAAAAACTCCAGCAGCACTGCTGTATCTGATCTACTTGTACCAGCACAACACACACTAACCTGCCACCACCATGTCAGTGTCACTGCAGTGCTGACAATGATCCACCACCCAAATAATACCTGGTCCTGACCTTTAAAGAACAGAATAAAAGGGGACTAATAAAGTATGCAGAGAAACAGATGGACTACAGTCTGTATTTGTAGAACTAGAAAGTGCACCTACATGGTAAGTGTTACAGATAAAATGGACAATGAGTGTAGAAACAAGGAGCTGTACTTAATGAAAAGGCTGATTGGTGTTTGTAATGTTGATGTAAAATTGTGGTACGATGCCCTGTATGTACCTCTCCACCATAAATGTGTTTTAAAAATAGATTTTAGACCAAAAGCTTATCTCAAAACTTTCATAAAACAGTTTCTTGGGATTCAGGCAACATATTCATAACCATTTCTTGTAATAGCTTTTAGAGGCATTAAACACTTCAGGAATCTGGCTCCTGTCACCACTGTGAACAATTCTGTTCATTCTACAACACATTTCACATCAAAACACTCATAAGGACTTTGTTTATCTTAACGATTTAATTGGGTGGAATTTTAAAAACAAATTGAGGGGAATTCTATATGGAATTATGGAATAACTGAAGTTTGAGGAATGACCATGCCTGAAACTCCACCTTCTCACTTCCTGCATCCTAAAAATACCCATCCCTCACTCCTCTTTCTTTAGACAATTGGAAGCTTTAAGTAAAAATGTAGACATTTTAGCTGTGTCCAGAATGATGAACAGGCCAACACAAGATTCTAAAATGAATGAAAGTTGTATAGCATTAAGTTATACAAAAAAGAATGAAATAATAAAATTAACATCTAGAATTCATTATATTCATACAAAAAGTGTAATAACTAATCACCAGAGGTGTGGAGTCAAGTCAATATGACTTGGACTCAATCAGACTCGAGTCATGGTTTTGATGACTTGAGACTCAACTTGACAAAAATGAGTAAGACTTTGACTCGGTCTCGGGCCTCATGACTCGGAAAGACTCGAGACCCAAAGTGGAAGAAACGTGGCGAAGCGCCTAACTGACACAGTCGGTTACTGTTCATGTGAATGGATTCGTTTCCTGGCATAAATTTGATACACAGAACCATCATCAAATGTCTGTTACTGTGTTTATGCTTGACTTATTTTATTTCAGAGTGGTCAGAATTCAAGTTCGCCTCCATGAGCTAGAAACAAGTGAAGCCTCAGTAAGCCTTCGCTCCGCACTTATATTTTAGTCTTAATGGAGAAACTTACCATCCTGCCTTTCGCCCAATGACAGCTGGGATAGGCTCCAGCACCCCACCGCGACCCAGAAGGATAAGCGGTTTAGATGATGGATGGATGGATGGAGAACTTACCAGGTAAAATGACCCTCTCTCTCTCTGTTTAACTGGTTTTAACAGCTTCTACAGGCACAACACACGCAACATTGACCACAAGACTAAATTTGACTTGTTATTGGCCAGCTTCATATTCGAATTTGATTTTCCACCTTAAGTGGTGCAGCAGTATTACGGTAAATTCAGTTCCCCCTGTTCCCCCTCATTGCGCATGTCGAAATCATGACGTCTTCAGTTGACGCTGCTCTGCGGGGCTTAGATGATAGGCTTAATTCGTAATTACAATGACTTGTAGTTAAACACGTTTTAAAGTATAAAATGTGTGGTTAGCAGATGTTTTAATGCCCAAACACTATGTGGGTTATCTTGCTAATGCTAGCTCTGGCTCCGTTTTCAACTACTCCGAGTAACTTAACATAGATTTAATGCGCCATTTCTAATTTAATTACTGTACATGCAGACACATTCTTGATCATACTTAAGTGATTTTTAAGGTGTATTTATGTCCCATATTGTATTTATATTCATATATAAATACAGTAACAATCTGTGCAAGATCTTTTCACTCAGTAACTTTTAGTCATATTGTACCAACTTTACACAATAACACAATTATTATACTACTTTTATAACCCATTGTAATATAAGGAAATTATAGGATTATTATAGTACCTTTATGCCCCGTTGTTGTGTAGGGAAAGGAAACCATCTACCAGGAACACTGAGCAAATTCAGTCCCACCTGTTTACTTCCATTAAACATGGTAACATGGTAACAGAAAACATAGCTGTATCAAGAAACATTACAGTGTAGTACACCTGCATGTAGTAATCATTCAATTTGAGAAAAATGGTAAAACATATAATGTATCTCTTTTTTTCATTTAATTCACCACAGTTCAAAATGTTGGAAACACTGCAGTTACTGGGAGAACTGAAAAAGCAAAGAAAGCATTATAGTATATTAAACTGATCCTAATTGCCAGTTTTAACTGGAAATTACTTTTTTTAGGGGCAATGGGTGCTGTTCTACCAATTACTCTCTGTATAAAACAATGCTAATAGAATGAAGCAGGTGGAGTAAAATTAAAAAAAGCTAAATTAATATAATAATAGTGCATTAAATCTTTAACAGCTGTAAACGACTAGTACACAGAGAATGCTGTTCCATCTGTAATCTCAGTGTAAAGTAGGTATAATATGAATAAAAGGTAATGAGTGAAATGATCGTGCACAGAAACAGATTATCAGCATCATTGTTGTATATTAAATCCACTCCAGCTGTAATATAGGGGAAACCACTTTTCTCAGGCTCTGGTTAAAATGTTCCCCCTGTAATCTCAGTTCTAAAGGTGGTATAATATGAATTAAAGTTACTGTAAAGGCAAGTCACATTAGTACCACAACAGTAAGACTTAAGCTTCAAAGACTATAGGAAACTAACTTCCTAGGTGCACTGAGATAAGTAGTCTAACAATAATAACAGACTAATACTGTGCTGTGTAATGTAGTTTATTTATTTCAGCAACAAATGTTTCAAATCTATTTACACAACTTAGCGAGACTGATGAGGATATGGGACATAACTACACCTTAAAAATCACTTAAGCATGAACAAGAATGTGTCTGCATGTACAGTAATTAAATTAGAAATGGCGCATTAAATCTATGTTAAGTTACTCGGAGTAGTTGAAAACGGAGCCAGAGCCAGCATTAGCAAGATAACCCACATAGTGTTTGAGCATTAAAACATCTGCTAACAACACATTTTATACTTTAAAACGTGTTTAACTACAAGTCATTTTACAAACAACGTGATAATTCGCTTACCGCGAGAAACACGGCGAAATAACGGTACAAACACAAACGTCAACTGAAGACGTCATGATTTCCACATGCGCAATGAGGGGGAACAGGGGGAACTGAATTTACCGTAACACCGGCGCCTGACTGCTGCATCATTTAAGGTGGAACGGAAAATTCGTAGAGGCCAATTTCAGCTTTGTACATTCATTCATTTTGATGTCTTTTGTGTCGTATTACTTTCTCTTGTCAAATCTAAATTCAATTAACACTAACGGTTGTTTTTAGTTTGCTGAGCTAGTTTTAGTGCTAGTTTTTATTTGAATCATATTCTCCCAAAAACCATAAAAAAATCTTCAAATATATTTTTTATTACCTTTAATGGCATTTTGAAAATTATTTTGATGTGTAGTGGCACTACTCTTTGTGTATACCATTATGTCTGTTATCATTACCCATGTACCATTGATTTTGTTTTAAAAAAAACATACTAGGCCTACATAAATAATTGCCTCAAAGACAGGGACACATCATAGTTGTTTACAGCACTTTATGATAAAATGATTCATCTACATACAAATGTACAATACTGTTACAGGGGCCAGCAGCAGTGAATGACTAAAAAGTGACAGATGTCAATCCAGGGTGGCTGTTGGACAGAGATTTAGTCTAGTCTTTGACATATTGCATTTCATATGCAGTGGAGTTCTTCTGCTCAAAAATCTCTTTAGATCTGAGACTAGACTTAATTTCTGCCACGAAAAAGACATTTATGTACGGGAAACCCATTTCAATTGACTATAATTAAAGCTTTACAGCTTCCCATGTTGCACATTTCAGAGACCAGAAGGGACAGCCATATGCTCTAAGGCACAAATAGATATACAGGCTCAGACATAAGCTCCACAATTAATATATCCAATGCATCACAGACTGAAATATTACTTAGTGTTCAATTGTCAATACAAAATAATAGAAAAGACTCAGACCACAAAAAGATGCTTACTTAAAGAATGAAATAAAAGGCATACAAGAAACTGACTGGACCACATGATTGCACTGTCACAGGTTCTAATTACCGTCTGATATCAGATTAGAAATGGGTAAGAATGAAGAGTCCAATGAGACTGGAGATTTACAGGCTCAGTAAGGGCAGTATATGTAAGGGACTGTCATGTCATCTGTAAACATGGTGTGCGAGTTTCTTCTCATGTGTCAGCTCTCTGGTGTATTTCTGTTAGCTTTTACTATGTCTAATTATGCTAAATCATAGCATATGCATACAAAAACATACCCTTCTAAACTACTTGGAAATGAGAAGCTATGGGTCCGTCTAGTCTGGGACTAAACTGTAATGCAAGGATGTCTCCTCATTGAACGTCATCATTGTTGACTGGTAGATTAAGAAGTGTAGGGACTTAAGAAATGTAATCTTGTACTGATTACAAATTATCTGACTACAAAGTTTAGTACTGCAACTTTAAGATTTAAAAAGTAAAATCTCACCTGATTACTAGGGTACTTTTGAAGTATTTCTATTTTAACAGCTTTGTTTGGTTTCACATCTTAACTGGTAAAAAGGTTTCAAAAAGACTGAATCATGTGAAGACACAGTCCTAATTTCCCCCTTATGTCTCCTTTCTCATAAAACTATGCATAATTATTAATGTCAGTTCAAGTGACATGACTATTTTGCAGTTTACTCTAAATTAAGAAATAATGGGCTGATTTATCAATATTGTTTAAGCAAAAAGGTCCTTAAAAATAGTAATCCACAAAAAAGGCAATTGCAATCTGATTAAATTTATTTTCGAAGGTATACTATTCTAATTACAGGTATTTGATTAGAGTTTTCAGTCTAGTCTAGGTCTATTTCGGAAAGCTGGCCACAAAGTGCATGATAGTTTTATGCACATCCTGAGCTACCGATTATTCGTTTACACCAGCCAGTAAATAATCAAATTAGACTCATGCACACAACTAACTAAAACCCCTTTCATAAACCTTCTTGTCTTTTAACCTGGCCCCAATCTGAATCAAATCTGGTCCTGCATTTTTCCATCACTTGCACGCAAAGTGAACAAATTCTGCAATTGATTCGATTGGAAACCCAGTGCAGGCAAAAATAAAATCTGCAGTATCCAGCACCTGAGGACTATGAATCAAGTTTCCAAACTTAGTGATTTGTAGTTTGGAAGACACTAAAGTATTCACACAATATTCTGGCAGAAAGAATTTTGGACAGCTAAAGCCTCTCTCATTCAACAGGTATTTCCAAAACTTTTTGCTTCACTGGTTGAAAACTGTTCAACCTGTGGTGTTACATTTGATAACAGCATGGTTTTCACAATGTATTTGTCTCATTCCCGCTAACCACTGGTTTCTAAGCAGCAACAACGGTCACCTTACTCTAACCTGCTGGAACTACTTTTTGGTGGAAGAAATTGCTAAATATTAAAAGCATATATTTATACAATGTTTGGTGCTTCTTTGCCTTACCTTCTTCTTTACCTTGCATAAAACACTACAGACTGTATGTTATCACAAATAGCATTACAGCTGTGATGATCTACTGTGACCAAGTCCCAGCCATGATGTTATTAATGATAATGCACTCCTTCTGTTGCTTAACTGACAGACATTAGTGATTGTGGTATGTTGTTTCTGAGTAAGACACTCTTGACTGAAGGCAGAGGAGGCTTAGAGATAAATTCTAAGAGGAGAAAAAGTGCTAATGAAAGCGGAGGAAAGCACATTGCTGCTATGGGCTGAGGCGCTCGTCCTCCATGTGTAGACTGCTGGGGAGGCAGAGCAGAGGCTGGCTGGAGCTGCTGGTGCTCTGACTCTTCAGACTCTCAATGGACCCAGATGACCCTGAGCAGATAACCAGAGTGAGATGTAGGCAGAAACAGGAACAACTTAACCCATCTATTTTAAGCTCAATATTGGTTAATATTCATTCACCTTCTGAAAATAACCAAATACACCAAGGTTTTAAAAAGATAAATTAGCACAAGTGATCACTCGTAGTAATACACGTACCATTGTCAACATTCCTCAACAGCAGTAGACCAGGACTCAGATGCTGAGCAAGTTGAGAATAAGGCCAGGTTAGATTAAAAGAGGAAAGGTTAGGAAACAGCAGAATAGCAGCACTCAAGCATCAAGGTGTGAAAGTAAGTCAAAGCCATCTTCAGCCAAACATTTTAAAATGGTAGTTCGGCATAATTTCAAATTTACACAATTTTCTTTTCATTTTGTAATGAATTATTACAGCAGGGTTCTAAGATCTCTGAGCACAAACTTAATTCCCTCTTTTTTATGTACTCCTCCTATCACTCAGAGAGGATATTTAATTCAGCAATCAGATTTTTCCTTAAGCCCTTATGGATTACCTGAACAGCATTAGGAACTAATATTTTCAGTCATTCAGTGTTTAGTATGTTCTTTTCTTGCAGATTCTTTCATTTCATGTTCTTTCATTTCATTTCTGTGTTCCTGTCTTTTATCTAATCAACACCAAGTATGTCTTTGTACAAGAAGTTTTTACAAGCTTGGCCTGCAAGTTTGCTGAACAGTCATTTCTTACTGTAATGTCTGGATATTTTTCCATTTATTTAAATATTGTTGCATATAATGTTTTGTTAATTAGAATCTAGAATAAGACTTGTTGAAAATTAAATTATACATAAAACCGCCAACTTAATTATTCCGGGGAGTCGTGTGGTTGTGCAGCTCCTGGATGTTTTGCTGGGCATTAGTTTCGGTAGCCTGTTTAAATGTCAGTGCGTAACATGAGCACACTTTGATTTGATGGTGCTGTATAGGCTAATAAGTGTGCAGTACATAGCTGAGCCAGATATTGGCTGTTTCTGTGAACCTTTAACTTTTTAACCCAAGAGATTTACATTCACTGCTGAGACCACAGCAAAGGCAAAAGACACGAGTCTTTCTGTAAACCAGCAGTAGGGTTAATTATTTAGCAGGTTAGCTATATATATATATATAGATATATAATAGAAATACAATATACATACAATAGAAAACTTTAAAATTGAGTTTGATATAGTATGTAATACTGTTGAAGTTTCAAAATGTAATATTCACTCTCAACTCCATACAGTTCATGTATGGAAACAAATCTATAAAAACAACCTGTTTTGACTTCACTGTTTCCATGATGTCACAACCACAAATGTGTTTACATCAGTGGTGTTCAATCTTATCTGCAAAAAGATGGCTGCATTCCATACGAGCAGAAGGACACCTTACACTTGTTAAATCAGTTGGTCAGATCCTGCTTTTTTGGAATGACAACCTGCAGCCACACTGGCCCTTTATGGATAAGATTGAACACCCCCGTTTACAAATATCTGTCTATTCAGCAGTTCAGCTCTGTCCATTAGACGTGTTTCAGCCTGGACTGCTTTTTGAATGAGACAGAATACAGGACAGCCAATCAGAACAGAGGTCATTTACATACATCAGACTTAAAGGCATAATAACAAAAACAACTTGTTTAACTCTAAGTGATAAATAGAGGTTGGAAAACAACCATGTAAACAAAATTTTGACTGTTTTTGGCATATAAAACTGCATAAATGTTATAAGTGGGGAAAAGTTAAAATACAAGAAAAATGTAGGACACGGGCCCTTTAACAACTCAACAGAGGTCGATGCAATTGTGTGATGTTTTAGGAACACAGCTAACTGGTGTACATAAGTTTCCATTACTTGCTAGCTACATTAGCCTCATGTTCAGGGCTCCAGGTCAAAACTAAAGATGGAAATTTTGAATACCAAACGTCTTGGCTGATTAACTACATTTGGGGAAAACTGCGTATATTCAATAATTTGCCGAACCATTGTTACAAGCAATACAGTGAAGAGAAAAGAGAACATATAAAGCAAGTAAATGCATGTTAGAGACCACTGGCACAATAAGCAGTTGTCTTCACCTCACATAAACTGTTGATCATGAAATAAATAATGGCACTGGAGAGATGATTGTGCGCTGCAAAGCAAATCCTGAATTGACCAGTTCCCTGCTCTGCAGGCTGACAGTCTGCAGCGTGACCACCAAAAGTATGCTGACAAAAATCAGTTATTTGTGGCTTACACAGCAATACAGCCATTGTAAGACAAGTCTGTGGGTTGTAGAGAGGTGCTGGACTGTAGTGTGGAGAATGGCGCTGTTAGGCGCTGAAGGTGTCGGTGTGTGAAGAGAATCAGAGCAGGCACTGCAGGGACGGTGTGTGGAGTGTCACAGAGTGTTGATGAAAGAGTGTCCACTCACCAGGCAGGGCCAGGTCAGCTGAGGGGTCGCTCTCAGTGCGGCTCAAGCTGCTGCGGGCACTGTGACAGTCCTGCAGGATCTCACTCACAGACACGCCCAGAGTCCTGCTCTCTGAACCTATACACACACACACACAATAAGAACTATTATACACCAGACTTCAACCAGACATGTTTTGTATCCAAAGTTTTCTAAAGCTTTTCTAAAGCAGCTAACAAAAATAGGAAGCTTATATCCACCACTTAGTAAATGCATGCCTAAATCATGTTACACTTGTTCCAGACCGCGTTGATCTGTTAAGTAATCTCAAACAGACTTGCTTATATGGTTTCCGACAATGCATGACAGTTATCTATGAAAATGAACAAAAGGATGTTGCATAGCAGAAAAAAACAGACATAGCAATTCTGAAGCCTGAATTTAGTTTGTGCTTTTGTCCATTTTAAAGATAGCAACATGTCATACAGTATCAGAAAAAGTTTGATTTTTAGCTCATCCTTCATCTTAAGAATCATGCATGTCTTATTTGTTGTTAACACACATTTCAATTGGAACTCAGAAGAACAGCCTTAGACAATGGACTGGAAGAACATACTTCCCCTTACTTACAGACTCACCTGTGTTAGGAGAGGCAGGTTCAGAGGCTTCCCCATCTATTGTTCCCTGCGGAGGTGGGGGAGAATGAAACACCTTTAGAGTACAAAGCAGCTGTGACAGTAATGTGCTGTTACCAGTGTGTTTCCTGATTCCAATGAATCAACAGTTTTAAACAGAGTACCACTGTAACAAAGAAAAACTGTGACATAGAAAACACAATGTTGTATAAACTCTTAATTTATTTGTATAAATTTTAAAGAGCCTTCTTCTATGAACTATTCTATAACACCACTACGGTACAGCCAGCAACAGCCCCTTAAAATTAACTCACCCACAATACTACATACATATACGCTAAGTACATACTATGCAAAAATGAATAATCTGAGGATGATATAAAAATTTTCAAAAAATAGCAATGTGCAAAGTTTAAATAAAACATAATGCAAGGATGTAAAAATTATTTAGACTCAGTATTTATAAAAATAGTATAAAGACAACATAACATGTGGCAACAGCAATGTTAATTGTATTTTGAAAAATATATGCCCATTTTCATTTTGATCCCAGCAACACGTTTCAAAAAGGTTGGGACAGGGGCATGTTTACCACTTTGTTGCATCACCTCTTCTTTTAACAACACTCTGTAAGTGCTTGGGAACAGAGGAGACCAATTGCTAAGTTTTTAAAGTGAAATGTTTTCCCATTCTTGCATGATATAGGATTTCAGCTGCTCAACAGTTTGAGGTCTCCTTTGTTGTATATTTTATTTCATGATGCAGCAAATGTTTCCAATGGGTGACAGGTCTGGACTGCAGGCAGGCCAGTTTAGCACCCGAACTCTTCACCTACGGAGTCATGCAATTGTGATAAATGCTAAATGTTGTTTGGCACTGTCTTGCTGAAGTAAGCAAGGCCTTCCCTGATCAAGACATTGTGTGGATGGCAGGATATGTTGCCAAACCTGTATATATCATTCAGCATTATTGGTGCCTTCACAGATGTGCAAGTCACTCATGCCATATACACTTATGCACCGTCATACCAACACGGATGCTAACTTCTGAACTATGCACTGAGAACAAGCTAGATGGTCTTTAGTCCAAGGGATGCAGTGTCCATGATTTCCAAAAATAACTTCCAATTTTGATTTGTCAGACCACAGGACACTTTTCCACTTCGCTTCAGTCCATCTTAAATGAGCTCAGGCCAACGTCGGCGGCGTTTCTGGATCCTGCTTATATGTGGTTTCTTCTTTGAAAGGCAGAGCTTTAACTTGCATTTGTGGATACAGTGACAAACTGTGTTTACAAACAATGGTTTTCAGAAGTTTCCCTGAGCCCATGCAGTGATTTCTACTATAGAACTGTGTGTGTTTTCAATGCTGTGCCACCTGAGGGCCCGAAGATCATGGCCAGCCAATACTGGTTTTCGGCCTTGACGCTTGCAAACTGAGATTTCTCTGGATTCTCTGAGTCTTCTAATGATATTATGCATTGTTACACTATGTGCCCAGGCAGTCTTTCACAGAACTCCTCATCATCTTTACTTCTGAAAGACTCTCTAAGATGTTCTTTTTATACCCAATAATGTTACTGACCTGTTGTCAATTAACCATCAGTTTTTTTCTTTTTTTTTTCCTTTTTTTTTCAAAAGTTCATCAGTTTTTGTTACTCTGTCCCAACTTTTTTAATATGTGTTGCTGGTATCAAATTCAAAATGGGCATATATTTTTCAAAAAAACAACACATTTTTTCCATTTCAACATTGTATATGTTGTCTTTGCACTATTTCCAATTATATATAGCGTTTAAATGATTTGCACATCATTTTTTTATTTACATTCTGCTCAGCAAACAGGGTTGTATAATTAATAAAACAATCATAATAATATTAAGAATACACTCAAAGTTCTTGGGCTATTTCAAACATTAAATATATATTCAAACATAAAAATAAAAAAAAAAGCTGGTGTATTGTTTTTATTGTCTCTATTCCACTACTGTGTACTACATTGTATCTACACCCTTTGTCAATTTTATCAGGTCCACTTACTCCATCTGTTTCTTTGCCTAATTTGTTAGCCCCTTTTACCCTGTTCTGCAATGGTCAGGACCCCCACAGAACCACCACAGAGCAGGTTTATTTGGGTGGTGGATCATTCTCAGCACTGCCATGACGCTTAGTTTGTTCTGCACTGGTACAAGCGTAATTATAGAACTGCAAAGTGCCCCTTTGTGGTAAGTGGAACTGATAAAATGGACAAAGAGTGTAGGTACAAGGTAGGCGTACTTAATGAAATGGCCGGTCAGTGTATTCATGTATTTAATATATTTAATAATTCTGAATCATATCAACATAAACAAGCTGAATTGAACTGTAGGGAAATTTGAGATGCTTTAAGAAACACGGAATTGCTTCTTAAAGCATCATAGCCAAATCAAATCAAATCACTGAGGTGAAATTTATTCTGCTTATATACAAGCCTCGATTAAAAAAAAGCTGGGACAGTATGTAAAATGCTAATAAAACCCAAAAGCAGTGATGAGTAAACTTTATTTGACCTGCATTAAATTGAAAGCAATTTAAAAACACAAAACTTGAGACTTTATTTGATGCATGCAACATGTTCCAAAAAAATTGGGACCGGAGAATGTTTATGACTACGTTTCATCATCTTTTCTTTTAGGGACTAAAGACCAATTTTGAAAGCATTTGGGTATACAAGTCTTGCGCAACCGTACAAGGCCTTTATAGTCATATTTTGCACTTCATAGTGCACCACACATTTTTCATGGGAGACAGGATTGAACTGCAAGCAGTCCACTCTAGCACTCGCTGCTGTAATGTGCCGAATGTGCATCCTCATTTTAAAATAAGCATAGATGTCCCTGAAAAAGACGTTGTTGAGAAGGCAGCATATGTTGGTCCAACATGTAAATATATATTTTTAGCGTTAATGGTGCCATTACAGAAGTGCAAGTTACCCATCCCATTGGCTTTATATACCCCATAGCATGACAGACCTGTCTTCATGCTGGTAACAATTTTGATGATTCTTCTCTACTTTGGCCCAGAAAACAGCTCTATTATCTCCACAAACAATATGAAAGGTTGACTCGTCAGACTACAATAAATATTTCCAGTGTGCATCAATTCATTTCAGATGAGCTCAAGCCCAGAAAAGTCAGCTGCATTTCTGGCTGTTGTTGACATATGGATTCCACTGTGCACAGTACAGTCTCAACTTGCATTTGTGGATACAGTGATGAACGATATTTATTGACTAAGAACGATATTTATTGGTTGCCCACTCCCGAGTAGGGCAACCAGCTAAGCGTTGGCCTTATCATCAGGAGATCTCCAATTTGATCTCTGGTGATGCTACAGCCATCCGTGGCCGGGAGTGCAAGAGAGCACAATTGGCCTTGCTCTCTGGGTGGATAGGATGGTCCTGCCTCTCCCCCCATCACTCAGCGCGTTGCTAGTCAGCGCAGGCATCTGTTGGCGCGAGCGTGTTTGGCTGTCCAATGACGTTGCGTGAGCGGCAGTTCGAAAAGACACAGTGGCTGGCAGAGAACTTGTAGAGAGGAGAATTACCACTGCAATGTCTTCCGGTTTCTCAAACACTAGAGGGCGCTCCTGAGCGAGTCCAAAATGTATGGGTTAAGATGGAGCATTTGAGCAAAATCATGGTTTATAAATACTTAAACCATTTTAATGTAAAATAATTCAATCGTTTCCTGAACAATGAACAGCATAAAACATTTTAACAGGTTATAGGAGTTTAAAATGGCGCCTCATGTACGTCCATGACGTCTGTGAGTGCAAACAGCCAATGAGCTACTCCGCTCACCAACCAATCAGCACTCAGTAGCAGTAATGCTAGCGTCCTGCTGCCCAAAACCTGTTTGCTGTAGAAAAAAAGGAAATATACAGGTAAGTTTTCTTTGCATTTTTAATTAAATAGGTCCTTCTACTTTCTAAAAGTAAAGGAAAGTTCTGGGCAAGTAATTAGAAACTATTTTAACGTTTCGTTTTTAGCCACTGAGCTCCATTTACTCCCATTCATTGAGGACTCACTCACGGGCACTCTCTGGCATTTTGCAGTCATGTTTTTGATATAACGGAAAATACAGGAAGTGGCCAGGCTCCTCAAAAAACGGCTCTGAGGCTGGCTTCACAGGACTAGGACAAAGCCTGTGCTAGCCCCGCCCTTCTAGTGCTGGTGGTATCGTGTGATTGGGGGAGTGCTAACTAGTGGGTGGAATTGGATATGACTAAATTAGGGAGAAATGGGAGGAAAAAATCCCCCCACCCCCCCACCCCAAAAAAAAAGCATTCCCAAGCCCTATGTGGTGACAACCATCACATAAATATGCCGGTTTTAATGCAGTGCTGTCTGAGGGGTCAAAGGTCACAGGCATTCAATTGTGGTTCTTGGCCTTGCCCTTTACACATTTTGTACTGTTTTCATTTACATACAGATCAAAGTGTATTTGCAAGTCACTGTTTTTATTTGCATTTTACATACTGTCCCAACTTATTTGGAATTGAGGTCATAAATAAAGTGTGTCAGAGACATGTGAAGGTGCAGGCGGACCTCGGTGGGTGCTGGGCTATAGGGCAGCACAGTGCGAGGCTGGGCATCAGAAAGCTCAGACAGTCTCTCCTCATCCTCCTCTTCCTGGATAGGAGACGATGGAGAGCATACGGATCTGTAGAACACGCAGCACGCATCAAGATCACATAAACAAAAAGGTCATCACTGTACAAGGGATAAAAAGAAAACTGTAAAATACAATGTTAAAACATATTGCAGACCTGGGCAATATAGTCAAAAATCCTTTTTGAATAATTACCAATAATTATTTTCTGAAGTTCTATGAATGCTGTTGAAAACAAAAACTCATGCAGTTTATGAATCAAAATTGTTTACTGTCAAGACAGAACATAAGTAAACTTAATTAAAACACAAATAAAAATAAACATAACACTAATATAAACAAAAAACAATGACATCAACAAAGAAACAGCTCGCTAGCTAACACTCTTAACTGTCCCACTGGTTTGTGTTGTGAATAAACTGCAAGACTATTCTTTCCCCATCTGGCAAGTAAATGGTGCACACTGGCACCTAGTGTACCAATGTAGCAATTATTAGTTAAACATATTGCTATATTTTACATGTTTTAGGTGCTCTTACCCATCTGGTGATTTGCTCCCTTTGCCTTTCAGTGCTGCAGGGTCTGCACTGTGCTCCATCATGCTCTGCTGTCGTCTGCTCAGGTTCAGTGGGTCACCCACCTCACCTGTAAACTGGATCTCCTCGTAGAGAGGAGCTGAAGGTATGGCAGGTGGAAGAGCCTGCACCCCGTTTAGCGCCTCTAGCAGGGACACTGGCTCATACCCTGGAGGGACATTCTCAGAGTTCTAGAGATACATGAGGTCAAAATATGAGCCAAAGCAAAACACTGTTCAGGTCTCTGATTACACTGAGTCAGATTTCAAACACAGTTCCACAAAGCACAATCAATTCTGTTTTTTATTGTATTAGGGACATGGCTACAGAGCAGAGAGGGCAAACTGATTTATTTAAAAAGCAAAGGCTTGGTGTAGTGAGGAAGAAAGTGTGTCTATGTGCTAGGGGTGTAAATCTAACACTTCACAATTCATGTCAGTTCAATTAAGATTCTTTAGGAAACAATTCAATTAGGTTTGTGCTGCTAATAGAATCATCTCATGCAGATAACAGTGTGGAAAATAACCATTGTAGAAAGTTATACCCAGGGAATGGAGTATAACTTTTCTCCTGGTAATTTTCAGGCAGTCTATTTCTCTCAAGCAGATGTGGGAGCAAGCACAGAGATAGAATGTGAGCTTAATATCAATTAACAAACATAATAAAAACACAGTTCAGTAAAAGTTGGGGTTGTAGTACAACTCCAATTCCAAAAAAGTTGGGTAAATGTAAAATGTAAATAAATGTAAATAAAAACAGAATGCAATGATTTGCAAATCTCATAGACCCATATTTTATTCACAACAGAACACAGAACACATATCAGATGTTAAAGAGTGAGACATTTTACCATTTCATGAAAAACAGTAACTCATTTAGAACTTGAAGGCAGCAACGCATCTCAAAAAAGTTGGGACAAGGCCATGTCTACCATTGTGTAGTAACCCCTCTTCTTTTAACAACAGTCTGTAAATGCCTGGGAAGTGAGGAGACCAATTGCTGGAGTTTTGGGAGAGGAATGTTGTCCCATTCTTGTCTGATGTAGGATTCTAGCTGCTCAACAGTCCTGGGTCTTCTTTGCCGGATTTTTCATTTCATGATGTGCCAAATATTTTCTACTGGTGAAAAGTCTGGACTTTCCAGATGTCCCCATACCATCAGAGATGCAGGCTTTTGAACTGCATGCTGATAAAAAGCTGGATGGTCCCCCTCTTCTTGAGTCCACAGGACACAGCATCCGTTGTTTCCAAAAAGAATTAAAAATTTTGATTCATCTGACCACAGAACAGTTCTCCATTTTGCCTCAGTCCATTTTAAATGAGCTTTGGCCCAGAGAAGACAACAGCGTTTCTGGATCGAGTTGACATATGGCTTCTTTTTTGCATGATACAGCTTTAACTTGCATTTGTGGATTGCACAGCAAACTGTGCTCACAAACGATGTTTTTGGAAGTGTTCCTGAGCCCATGCAGTGATTTCCAGTACAGAATCATGCCTGTTTTTAATGCAGTGTCGCCTGAGGGCTCGAAGATCACGAGCGGCCAATACTGACCGTCGGCCTTGTCCCTTGAATACAGGGATTTCTCCAGATTCTCTGAATCTTTTAATGATATTATGTACTGCAGATGGTGAGATATCCAAAGTTTTTGCAATTTTATGTTGAGGAACATTTTTCTGAAATTGTTTCACAATTTTTAGCAGATTGGTCAACCTCTGCCCATCTTTGCTTCTGAGAAACTCTGCCTCTCTAAAATGCTCTTTTTATACCCAGTCATGTGAGTTAGTTGAAAATTGCTCCTCCAGCAGTTTTATTAGATGTCTCACTTTCAACATCTGATATGTGTTCTCTGTTCCATTGTGAATAAAATATGGGTCTATGAGATTTGCAAATCATCTTATTGTTTTTGTTTTTTTGGGGGCATTTTTCCCACAGTTATCTCCACAATTAAGTCATACCCAATTCCACCCACTAGTCAGGACTCCCCCAATCACACGATACCACCAGTGCTTGGAGGGCAAGACCTGTGAAGCCAGCCACCGCATCTTTTCAAACTGCCGCTCACGCAACATCATTGGACAGCCGAACACGCCTGGAGGGAAGTGCCAACCGCCAGTTCTGTGACATCAGCTAACAGGCGCCTGCGCTGACTAGCATCGCGCTGAGTGATGGGGGAGAGGCAGGGCCATCCTACCCACCCAGAGAGCATGGCCAATTGTACTCTCTTGGACTCCTGGCCACGGATGGCTGTAGCATCACCATGGATCGAACTCGCGATCTCCTGATGACAGGGCCAATGCTTAGAGGGTTGCTCCACTTGGGAGCCCCATTGCATTCTGTTTATTTACATTTATTCACATTTTACACAGCATCCCAACTTTTAAGGAATTGGGGTATATTATCTTCTTTAATTTGGCCATAAAACTGTAATAAATCTAGTAATAATGAACAGAATTACAAATGTCACACACATTTTACCATCTAAAGCTGTTTAGCTTAGCCTGATGCCTTCTTCTCTGAATTCTGGCAACACAGTTAACTGCCACAGGGCATAGGCCTAGATTCAATGCATTTTACATTTGAAAATAGCTTGAGATTTTTATTTTGGTTAAAAAAAATAGTGCATACTTTATTGAATATTATTAGAACAAGTTAATTCATAAATGCATTTTTACACCCCTGATGTGTGTGAATGTGTGCATGTGTATGTTATATACCGTATTCTCTGTGTGGTCTGAGCTCTGAGAGAGCACTGGACTGAAGGAGACAGAAGAGAGCATGCTAGCTGGTTTCTTCCTCACTGCACGGATCTGGAGCAGTGCACGAAAGGCTGGTGACAAAGAGAATGACCATTTAAGGAAAAAAGACAGTGCTAATTAGTCCACTACAAATAAAGCAAACACAGGTGCTGCATCTTCATAAGCAGCCACTTCCCAAATGCTACCATCTTCTTATTTTAGCAGAAAATTTCCACAGCTGTTCTAATTGCAAAAGGGTAGACTAGACAAAGAGCATCCTTTTTTTCCCCACTGGGTACTGTTAATCAAAACTGTAATTGTTGTCTTGTTAACCACCAGTTTTAACCTGAAAACACACAAATCAGACACTATATCTATAAATACACGTACTGTTGTAAATATTCCAATGGCCTATATCACATTTTGCAATCCTGTACGTCATTCTTGTAACAATTGTACAAATTGTACAGAAATCTGACTTCCACAGAGGTTAGCGGTTAGCCAAAATATGAAAAATTATACTCTGTCCCTTGTTATGACATTACATAGAGGTCTCAGTTCTCTGTTGACATTACTATAATATTCTTTGTAATTCTTTGGTTCTTACAAGAATGTCTCCCACTAAACAGTGATTTAAGCAGGTATAGACCATGGTGACTCTGAGATTATTCTATTTCATGTACAAGTACAAAAATTGTAAGTATTCAGAAAAGTTATCACCGCAGACTACGACAGGTTGACACTGTATTGTATGTATCTCACTATGCTGACAAGTGACCATAAACACAAAACAGTAACAGGTTTCTTTATACACATTTACAAAAACAGTTATAAACATAAACAAACACTTCTGAAGTAGTCATTAACTAATGCAATAACCACATTTTAGTTGTCATTTTCAGTGTACTTAAAATGAATGAACAACTCCCTGTAGTTTGCTGTGCGAAAAACTATTATGAATTTCATTCACTTTTTTGTTCTGTTTGAAAAGGAGATGTTTTGAACTGAGAGAATACAATGTTACAGTGAGGCAATTTTAACAATTTTGCGGGCTGCAAAGACATCAAATGATTTGAGATTAAAAGAAACGAGGGCCTAAATCTTTTCAAGCCACATGCAGTGACACTGCACCAAAGATTATTCTACTCTTTCCAGCAGGTGTCACTGTTTTCAAAATGTCAGTTACACAAGAGGCGCCACACATGCAGCTATTGCATGTCTACTCACAGCCTCATCCCATTAATACAAAGAAAAAAAATTAAAGCATTAAAGCAACATGGAGAGAAAAATGATCATGCATCCTTTCAGCACTCTGCCAAGGCTCTGTCTGCTGTATATTATTATTCTCCAAAACATTACAAGATCCATTATAATACCAATGGCCAAATACAAGGACAATTTATGCATTGATTAATGAGACACTTACGCAGTCGGCAGATGGGGCAGTTGTTGGCCTGGTAACGCAGGGTGTCCGCACAGGCATTGCAGAGGCATAGGTGCCTGCAGGGGAGTATAAGTGTATCGCGTAGGTCTGACAGACACACCACACACTCACTGCTGTTGTCACTGTTCTCATCCTCTGGAGACTGATGGAAGAAAGAAAACACAAAAAAACACAAAAAGAATATGGAGTATGGTTGTCATAATACCAGAATTTTGACTTTGATACTGATAAGTATCAGCATTACAAAGCTCGATATCTAAACAATAGTATAGCAAAAATCATTGTCACTGTCTGAACACCCAGTGGATATTGGACTGAACACAGAAAAATAGCTACAGCATAATTAACATCTGATTATCAAATTCAATCTTTTTTTCTGAAATGTAAAATAAATAAAAGAAGTTAAGAGTATTCAATTAACAACCGCATTGAACTTTCAATACATCATGTAGCACTCTCAGGGAGACAAACATGTCAGCAGGAACACTCAGTAGTAGTGACTAGCAGGGACAGCACAAGGCCTAATCATTTTATGATGTGCCTACATGCTATTGTTTTATTACTGTGTCTGGATTTACCTTTGTCTTCTGATTGTTCTTATTCTCAATGCCATAAATCTCCTGGAGAAGGTAGCTCACTCGATCAACCTGTATGATGGCATTAGTACAAGATTAGTTTATTTATACTTAAGCAGTTCACAGGAGTCATCTGATACTAACACTTTAGAAGTAATAATTAACTAAGGCACTAAGCACTCTATTAGCATTTTTATGAGGTAAGCCTATGCACATTTAAACCAGAAGTGGGCAGTAAAGAGCTACAGCCTACAGCCACTCAGCTGCTGTTTACCCTGAAGTGCTTTTGCTGACGACATTTCTTGTACGCAATGCATGCAGTTCACTCGCACTTACATAATGTCAAGTCCCTCTATTTATAGCTTCTGATATTATCATTTTCATTATGTTTATGTCCTCTTATTCAATATCCCATTCTATTTTTCAATAAATTCTATTCAAAAATACTTCCCCTTTCTCCTCAAATACAGTAGTCAATACTGATGAAGTTCCATTATGTTACTTGCTTTAATTATTGTCTCTTCATAGATGGGCAAGAGTGATGAACCACAAAAATAAAAGGAAACAAAGAGTTACATTTTTGTTAAGATTACAGCCATGACAATAGAAGTCCTGTGACATATTAATTCTAAATATTCTAACATGTATGAAAATCAGTCACTACTGTGACCAAATACACTACTGTCCCATACATATATCCCAAATACACTTACTATTTGCTTCTGCTTCAAGGGCTTCACTGAAAAACTGCCATCAACATGCTGTGGCGAAAAAAAAAAAAATGCCATGGTCAAATCATACCATGAAAGTAGACACACTTAGCACTTATGCTCAGTAATACTATTTAACATTCACAGTTGATCAAAAAATTACTCAGAATATAATACTACATACCTTTTCAAATGATGCTAAAAGTACATGAGCATGTCCTATGACATCTGCAGAAGTAAAGAATACAGTTCCTATGAACCAGTGCAACTTGGCACAACATTTTCACAGAGAGAATAATTCTCTAAAGGTTAACTTGTGAGGCCTACCATCTCCGTCATCAACGACTGCCTGAATCACCAGAGGGAATACACCTCTGTCCAGATCAAAGTTCAACTGGGCAAAAAGACAAAGAGCACTTTCAAAGTGTAACTTCAAACTGTCAAAAGCGCCCCCCATACAAAATTCTCCTAAGTCTGACATTTACATGTAATTTATGGTTCAAATCCAAATTTAAAAGGCTTTACTACAACAGACAAGTGCAGGGCAATACAATTCCATTTTACAATCTTTTCCAAGTGTATCACATGTCTGAGATGATATTTAAGTGAGCCTTAATAAAGAACCCATGCTACTTAAATACAGGTACTTCAAAATAAAAGAATGTCTTACAAACCTGACAGCTTGTTTTGACTGGACTGTTTTGTTCTGTTCTGCCTCTTAAAATTACACCAAAGTGAACCTAATGCAGTACTGCTTTTTTTGGACGGTTCTTTCAAAACTTTCTAAGCATTCAAAAAGCACATGGAAAATCTGTCAGTAATGCTAAAACTAAAAATTCTGTTGTGTGCCGTTAAAAGAGGTATATCTCAGTATTACAATAGAGTTCTTGCATATCTACCTTGAACAAATAAAAATAGAATGGAATTCAGGATCAACCTTTTTATCAGTCAGTTCCATGGTACTACAGTGGACTGTTAATAATAGCACTATTATTACTGTTGTCTAACAAACCTATAGGTATTTCATTTCAATTTCCCACATGAAGAGTAAATACAGTCAGTGTTGTTTCATTAATTATTTCATTTCACAGAAACAATCCACACACAGCTTATTTGAAAAAAAACTGTAAGACTGTAAAAATTGCACAGCTATTAGCAAAGTTGACATGGTTTAGCATTTGTGATTCTCACCTCCTCTGGCTTCCATTTAGTGAAATCAATCTTGAAGGATGGCAAAGAAAACTGCTGATTTATCCCTCTCTTATAATGGACAGTTTCAGAGACCAGAGCTGGTGTCTTAGGAGTATACCTTTAAAGGTAAACATTAGCATGATCACCATTAAGTAGTTTTCACAAATACCCAGTCAAAATGATTACACAGTTCACATATATTCTACATTCAAATGAATTGTGCATGTCTCTATGAGTAACCACCTGTCAACAGATCACAAACATAATCTTTAAAGCTAAGGAGAGCCCCCTTTACTTTTCGTTTTAACTAAAAGCCCAGTACGATTTGTGCTGTTGTTTCTATGGCATCAATGAAACTACTAAGGGATCTGTTGTCTAGCTAAGGCAGTGTTGTATTTCCTTGAACTCGGGTAACAGAAGCAAGACTTCAGGGCTATTTAGCTCATCAACTACGCGATCCACATGCTTTGTCTGACCTGTAACATTTCCACAAAACTGACAAAAACCACTGCAGCATTTGCAGCATAATCTATCCTAAAACTGGGACTTTATTCCTAAAACTGTCCAAGTCAAAGTTTTGCATTATTTTGTAAGAAGTTGTGAACTGAAAAAAGTAATGCACCATATGTATTTGATTCAAACGTGTACACCATTTCCACATGAAAAAAATACAGCATATTAACATGATTAAAGCAAAAAATAGGTAACCTAAAGACAAAGTTATCTGGATGCAAAATATCTTATTCACGTTGAAATGATGTACATATTTGAATCAAGCAAATTCAATACTTTAGATTTTTCAGTGTAGAGTGTGTACCGTTTACTACAGAAACTTACACTGCCATTCCGTTAGAAAACTCCTCAAAGGCCTGACAATATACTGTTATGGCAACTCTAGCATCAGTATCAAAACAGAACTCCACACCATATAAAACTCTGGGATTTTCAGTTTCCTCAGTCGTGCCCTCAGCATCATCTTTGTACCTGACAACAAAAGGCAGAGTTTATGTTTGTGTCCAAATCTTTAAGTTTGTTATTCAGTAACTACTTGGAAAACAAGACAAAATAATTAAGTTATTTAAAGGAGTATGACAGAATGAAATATCTGGCCTCAAGCTTGAGAGGCAAACTACCTGACAAGCCGTAAAGAGTCTTTCCTGATGTTCACCAGACTCCTCAGGGTTTTCACAGGCTCATGAGGTGCAGGGGTCACATAGGGAAACTAGGAAAAGAAGTACATGTATCCATTAAGGAGGCGTGATGACTCAGTTTTGAGTCATACTCAGATGTAACTTGAGGAAATTCTGTTTTGCTTACCTGAACAGGTCTGTTGCCTAGAAAGTTTAAATCCATATTTTCCCCAAACAAATATCCCTCAGGATGCGGAGTGTCAAATTTCTCCCCTCCCATGAAAAAATGACTGGTGAAGTAATTTCCTGAAATGATAATGATGAATGGGAGTTCATAACATGAGACAAAGAAACACCTGTGGATTATGAAAGTTGCATGATTGATTCATAACTGCTGGTGTAACACCCACTAGGTTCACTATTTGCTATCAGTTACAACCAAAGGGAATATACTGAGATTGGGAGGAGAGGTATGCTATATTTTTGCAAGCAAAACCGATTCATAAAAATCAGGACGGAAATAATTCACAGTTTAAGTTTATTAATAATCATGTTATTACAGACAGATAGCCATAGTAAATATTTAGGCATTGTCATTACTTACTTTGTTCATTTTTTTTCCAAAGGTTTTATCATACACGTCTTACCTGATTTGGGGGGATATCTGTAAGCTGAATTAGCTTGAATATCGATGTCTTCAACTCCAGCAATTCTTCGACTAAGTACTGAACCCATTTTTAGATACGGCCTCACTCCTGAAAATACGAAAATATGAGGACCAAAGAAGAAAGACAATCCTGGCAAGCTGCTTGGTTTATTTTGCTAGTTTTGCTTCATCCGTTAAAGATGCATTCGCATTCCCATCTTGTCTGCTAAAAATGTTAGGTTCAACGGCACTTTTGCGTCAGAATGACCCTCCAAAGCATTAAAACGACTAAATATACTGTACAGATCGTACACTTACGCCTACAGACGTTAGAGAAACGACTGGCTTTAAAAATAAGGTCTAAGAAAGACCACAAACAATACTTCTACACCACACCAGTGACTCCCCTCTGTGGAAACAACACCAGCTACACCGCGAGATGCGTGATTTCATGGAGCTAAGAACTGTGGGATATGTAGTAAGGAAAGGGCCCGAGATTCAACGGCGCATCGCAACAGATTAAAAAATAAAACTATACTATAAACATAAGCGCAATAACATGTGAATATATTTAATTTTCTCCATTATTAGGTATCCAAGTCATACATGCAATTAAAATGCTGGTTACATTTCCTTTGGCAAGGGTTAAGCGTAAATCATACCAAAATAAACAAATTAAATCGCTTGCTGTTATAGTAAACGTTTGTCTATCAGGACTATGAAAAAAAACATTTATTGACGTGCCTTCAAATTCACTGTGATAAAATTAAAATGTTACGTGTTTTTTTAATGCTTTGGCATCTGACAGCATGAGGCAGGTATTATAATAATTGATAATACAGAAACGGCTGAATTATATGTTATTTGTCACATGGAAAGAAAGAGGATTCCAGTAGTCCAACTATGCAGTGTTTATAAATATCGTATTAGATATAGCTTCTCCCTACTGCCATCACATCATTTAAATCTACGCAGAGTGGTAGGAAAAAGCATTAACGGGACTGCGCATACGTGGTGTACACTAGACTCCTTTAAAGTACGTCTAATGGTGCCTTTGGACTTTTATGTTTCTCAACGCAATTCAATTGGTGTTGGAAGATTTGTTTACCATATTTGGCGAGGTAGCGGCGTGACTCGGACGGGAATTGGATGGGAGCGGCCGTCATTCATAAAACTCTGCCTTCCAGGACTTTACAAACAAAGCGTGGGTCGACGGGAAATGTAGTTCGGAAGAGTAATAACGTGGAGCTGAAACGTACATTTTGCCTGCCTGCTCGAAATGTAAAATCGTGATCGTGTATATCTCTCTAGTTAAATTGCACTCATATATCAAGACACACATTCGGGATGAATGGACTAATTTAGAGTTAGTCAGTTCCGTCACCAGCATAACAAAAAAAGGGATTATGCGGCATACATTTCCCACCACCTCTAATGTGCTGCTATTGGCCGCTCAGCTGTGTCAATCAGAGGGCGCTCAGGACACTAGGTTCCCTACAGTAAATATTTGTGTTTGCTCAGCCGGCTGTAATGGTGGACGACTGAAAGAGAAAAGGGAGAAATACAATCTCTAAAAAATTGCATCCCAGGCAAAAACAGTGCTGCCCGCGGCTCGGACATAAACTCCGGCAGACATGGATGAACTTAAACATCAAGTGATGATAAACCAGTTCGTCCTGACAGCTGGATGTGCGGCAGATCAGGCGAAGCAGCTTTTGCAAGCGGCACATTGGCAGTTTGAGGTGAGAAAGCTGGTTTGGTTTTGCCCGTAATGTTTATACTATGTTTAACATTTTAGCGCTGGTGGCCCTCGCTGCCACGGAAACCAAGCCGGAATATCAAACTCTCGTTTTGTCTAACGTTACCTGTTTGCTTTATTTTCATTTGTTTTGTCGTCAATAAGAGGCAATGCACGTAGCAATAGTATACCACAACGAGAATAGTCTGCACTGGCTACTATCCAGTTTAAGTTTACTCTAGATTAAATACTATAATCCTTCCCCGTGACACACTGTTCTAGCTTGCTGTGCTATTATGCAATAAAAACGGACGTCGTGGTCTCTCTCTTTCTCTCACAGATTAACGTTACTTGGACCAGCAAACAGCTCCTTACTAACGCCATAACAAATGTGTTGGCGTTTTGTTTTACTTTATTTAGGCTGCTATGATTTAAGACAGTGCTGTGCTCCATGAAGAATTACAAACATATCTAACGTTATATGAAAACTTCGGTTGGCTTGAGTAATGCAAATTAAGCTGAATATTATGCTTTTCATAGCATATAGAAATTTTGTTTAACATTACATTGTGCTTTCTCGTTACAGACAGCCCTCAGTGCCTTTTTTCAAGAGACTAATATTCCTTACGGTCACCACCATCAAATGGTGAGTACAGAGGCTCAACTGTACTACGAGTGCTTTGTTTTTATAGTTCATTTTAGCAGATCGCCTGTCTCAAAATGGTTTCCCATTAGCCTTGTGGGATTTTCATTTTGTCACGGCTTGAGTAAGGAGAAAGAGTCCTATCGAAGTAACAATAACAGTGTATATGTCGGCCATGTTGCGGAGACAAGGGGCTTCCAGAAATAAACACAGTCGGCCCTGTTCATACTGCTGTTACTGTAGTGGACAGCAGCAGCGTCAGTGAAATGAAATCGTGCTCTCGTGTAGACTCGTGTTATAAATTCTACGATTTGTCACCTAGTTTAATGTTTGCGTGATATAGCTCTGTGATCAGTTTTAGCTTACCATTTAGTTAAAGGAAACATTAACGTTAAATGCTGCACAGAATTGACCAGTGTTTATGTTTTGGAGGGTGGTCCTGGTTCCATGTGCGGATGGTCAGCATTCATTTTATTCACAGCTCATCAGTGTGTTGCCTTTGCAGACCACACGTCCACTGAGGCAGCACACACAGTCTTTGTTTAGAGTCACTGTATCATTCATCTGGGTTCTCGAACATCTCACTCTCAGGACATTGCAAATGGTGGTGCCCTTTTGTAGCTGGCCATTGTGATACACTCCTACTAGTATTTCATTTACTGTTATATATAGCTAATTGATTGTTTTGTACTGTCAGTTATTTTAAATAGGGATGCACAATGACTTTGGAAGCATATTGGTATTGGCTGATCATTGTTTTTTGAAAATGTATCGGCATTAGGACGTTAATGCTTCATTAACGTGGATTGTCCATCAAATCAGACGGCCAGAGTACATTAACGGAATAAACACAAACATTCTAATGTTTGCATTTGTCTTTACAATGTTCAGAAGTAAAATGAACTAAACACAAACAAATACAAACATTTGGTTGGTGTGCTATACTCATATTTGATTGTAGAACATGTTCTCTTCCTATTCACTCTAGTTCATTTTACTTTCAAGTTCTTTTCTTAACATTCTACGGATAACTACAAACATTAGAATGTTCCTGTTTGTCCTGTCTACTCTGGTCTACTCTGTGTACTCTGGTCTTTTGATTTGACAGATAATTCACACTTATATTTGATAATGCATTTACTGTATTCCAGAAGAGTGATGCTTAGGTACAGTGCTAAAATACCTGCATTTTATGAATTTTACTAATTATATTGATTATACATGTAACCTTACAAATATGTGCTATATTTCTCCATAGTGTTAATCCAGGTGTATCTGATCCCACTTTGTGTGTGTACATAGATGTTTGTATATCGGCATCAGCAGATATGTACATGAAAAATATCAGCATCAGCCCAGATTTCCCATATTGGTGCATCCTAATTTTAAATCAAATCTTTTGTTAATTGAACATTTCTCTTTATTCTTAATCCATATAAACATGTTTTGTCTTATACAGTACTAAAACATTCTTATACTGGCCTAAAAACACATTCTAAAGCTGTTCCATTAAATCCTTTCAGTCTGTTACATTTTTTTATACAGTAAGGGGTGCTCATAAATCAGTGTTTGAAGACCGCCCTTTGGTTTTATGCCACAATCTTTCAGAAAGTAATTTCCTTAGTAAGTGTTACAACAGCTTTGATTAGCTTTACTCAGCATATGGGCTGTTCTAGGTCTGAGGCCTTTTTCAAAGAAGCCTTTATTAAGCTGTTGACATCCAGTATCTAAGGGCATCTGTAGACCCTCATTCAAAGCTAAATGCAGAACAGATTGTCCAGCATTGTACAATTTGGCTGTGTTCAGTTGAAGCATAGGCCTGCGGTTGCTGCATGGTAGCCAACCCCCTCCAGCTTATCAGTGTTGCTTAGCTATACAGTCTTAATCCACTTTGCTCCAGAATTTCTGCAGCACTGACACACTTTTTCTGATTGACAGAACTGAGGCAGCAAGTGGTCCCTGAAGTCACTTTGGCCTTAAGTGCATGAAAGAGAATTTGCAGTATTGTAGATATACCATGGTGCTCTTTAACATTACACTATATTTTATGAAGCTGTGAAGGGGCTGAAAGTACTAATGAAAAAAGTACTCACAATGAGTGCCAAAAAAAAATCAGATTAGAGGAACTTACTAACTTACAAATGCTTGTAAAGTGGAGCTTTGAGAGATTTTCTTCAAAAATGAATTTTAAGGACAATATTTTATGATGGGGAAAGCAAGAGCATTGCTACTCTTCAATAAGCTCAATGGCTAGCAAAACTAAACATCTTTAGTCTTTGTTCATTTTGCTCTTAAGAATAGTGACTAGTTCATTACTGCTTTAGATTTGGATTACTGCATGAATTGAGTTGCATGCCGGGAGATTATAGAGCACTGAAAAGATGAAGGTGTGGTGTGTCCATTGCTGGTCATAGCAACTCACGGCCCACCACCATTACACCATTAAGTTAAGGTTTTGAGACCGGGGTTGAAGATTCAAATGTCCTTGTCACCCTTATAAATACAATGAACATTATTGACCATAGTATTATGGCGATATGGTCACACAGTTAAGAGCTCTCACTAAAAATAAAATTTCGTGTGAAATTAACAATGAATATGCAAATCGGCACAAAATGTGAAGGCACCGTAGATGCTTTCTGTTATACTGTGATTTTTATGTCTCTTTTTCCTAGTACATTGTGCACAATTTTACCTACATTAACCCTTTGAACTCTAATGGCCCACACTTCACTTTATCACTCCCATATTTATATAAATGAAATACTACTTTCATAGTAAAAGTAAATAATTTATATCAATTACTTAATAATAAGTAGAGGTGTAACAGTACACTCAGCCCATGATTCAACCTGATACTGGGTGCACGATTTCTCACTGTTTTGAATTGTAATTGTGTTGTTGCACTACCTACTAATGACACATGATAATGGGAGGCAGGAGGAGTGTTGGAGGGAGTTGTTGATTGGTGATGATTGGTCGTTTGCAAATGTTGGTGTTCAAACAATGCAACTGCATTAAATGGCATAATTAAAAGAATGTCAGTCTTTCATGATAGACAGGGTTCAAGAAGTTAGTGACATTGTACTATTACAATAGTTTATAGTTTATTAGTAGATTTGGAATATTAGAGCTATTAAATATGTATGAAAGCATTTTAAGTTAGATTTCTGTGGGTTTTAAAAATAAGTAGTAAAAGAAAAAACAGTGTATTAAGGCACTGATTAATTTGGTTTGTCTATCAGTCATTGAGGACAGGGAGTCTAAAGAGATCATACATTCTTATTTGCAGTTTTACACACTTAGATTAATACTGAAACATACTGAAGAGGCATTCTTAACATAATGCTACAGCGATCTGCAAGCTACTAACTATTCACTGAAAAAATGCTAAAGGCTCAAGGGTATTTAGTCTCTTGTTAAATTGAATTAAAAAACACAAAAAGACAATAAAAAAAGGTTAAAAGACTGTGTTCCTGGCAGGCTGAGTAAAGAAATCGAGGATGGAAAGGAAGGGGGGTGAAGGTTCTCGTAACTTTAAACATGTGGTTTGTTTCTGGGTGTGGCCAAAGCAGGAGCTGGAGTTCATAGAAACAAATGACACACAAGGTCAGAATTGGGCTGTTTAGGGCCCTAGTCTAGTATAAACCTAACCTAAAGCATGGTGTGGAGCAGAGTTCGGAGTAATAATTTGGCCTATTATCTCCCTGACCATGGATATTTTGTTTTATTAATGTAAGAAAGAGGACATTTGTTGCTTTGTCTCGTAGAGGCTGGCAATTGGGGAAAATGGAAAAACTAGAGTGCGTGATGCATTAGTGCAAAATACGTCAAGTACATGTTGAAGTGTAGAATTACTGCTAGAAATAGTTTCTGTTATGGCAGTATCATAGGCAAAGTACTTGGCATCTTTACAGCAATATGTGTACCATCGCTGTTAAAAAAGTCTATGAAATGGTATTTTTAAAGGATAAGGAAAGGTGTTCTTAATTTACTTTAATGTAATAACATTTATTTAGAAGTTATTTTGTGACATTTCTATTGGTCTCTTCATCCATTTAAAGGCAAGTAGCATTTTCAAATGGTGTAAAAAGGATAAGTGTGTGACAGCAGCTCTATACACATGTATGCATTTATACATGGTCACTGTTTAAGCACATTGTAAATTACTTTTGGAACTAAGACGTTTTATTTTTGGATGTTTTGGCTATTTAAATAATCGAAAATCAAATCACATGTAAGGACTAAAACCTCAGAAATTTGAATGGCTTTATTATAGACCATGCAATACATTCGGGCATGCGTCCCTGGAGTGGCATTGAGTATGGCCTTCTTTCGGTAAGTGTGCCAGGCAGAGCCAGAGCCACATCTGAAGTGGTTTGGCCTGCGTGTGTGAGCGTGTGTGTTTCTAGTAGAACAGCTTCCCGGAACACGGGGAACTCGGTGGTGGATGGTTTGGCTGCCGGAGAGGCCGAGTGTGCGAAGAGCAGATGTGTGAACAAGTAGCGGTGTGTAACACACAAACATTTCTGCTGCGTGTTTTATGTGACCTAGACCAGAGAGTGCTCATCAGGGTTTCTAAACTGGCCCATTATTCTGTGACATTTTGAATGTGGCACGTTCAATCCTATCAATTCAATTTATCAATTCAGTTTATTCATTATTTGTTTTTTTTTTTGTTTTGTTTTGTTTTTATTACACCATTTGAAAACTCCAGTTGCCACCGTTTACAATGTGAAAACATTTCAACTGTGTACATGGATAGTAAATTGTGAAGTTTCAGATCTTAAGTCATAAAGCCTTCGTGACAATTCCAGAGCGTAATACATTCAACTCTTTGGCCACAATCACTAAAGGTACATTTGTAGAAAAAAAATGAGCTGCATTTGATTAAAAGAATACCTTACCAACTGTTTAGCATGGGGGTTGGTCTGTTATACTCAGGGGGTGTGTGGCAGCAAGTGGCACAGGAAGCATTGCACGAGTAGATGCATGAATGGATT